ATCAAGTACATATTTCCTTTGGGAGATGAAAATTCTGTTCTTGGAGTAGGCAACCTCTATGCCAAGAAAATATTTGAGTTTTCCGAGGTCTTTCATTTCAAATAGAGCTGCCAATTTTTCTTTTAATGCCAATTTTTCTGCTTCATCATCTCCTGCAATAATCATATCATCCACATAGACAAGCAATAGAGGGAGTTTACATGTAGAAGAGTGCTTTATGAATAGAGTATGATCTCCTTGGCTTTGTCTGTATCCCAAGGAAACCATTGCTTTTGTAAATCTTCCAAACCATGCTTTAGGGGATTGCTTAAGACCATACAATGCTTTCTCCAAGAGGCATACCTTGTTTCTTTCATTTTTCACTTCAAAACCTGGGGGAATCTCCATGTACACTTCCTCATCTAGATTTCCATGAAGAAAGACATTCTTCACATCCAGCTGGTGTAAGTCCGATCCAAAATGGGCAGCCAAAGCGAGAATAACTCGAACTGTATTCATCTTTGCCACTGGGGCAAATGTCTCCTCATAATCAATCCCATATGTTTGGGTATATCCTTTTGCCACCAATCTAGCTTTATATCTTTCTATTGTCCCATCTTCCTTATGTTTCAGTGTGAATATCCATCTACACCCTACTGCCTTCTTGTCTCTTGGCTTATCAACAATCTCCCAAGTTGAATTTCTTTCTAATGCATTCATCTCTTCTTTCATGGCTTGATTCCAATGTTCAAGTTTCATGGCCTCTTGGATTGAGGTAGGAATTTTTTTGGCATCAATGGCAACAATAAAACTTCTGTGCTGATCAGAGAGATTGTTAGTGCAAACATACTGAGAAATAGGATATTTAGCACATGATCTTCTTCCCTTTCTCAATGCAATGGGTAAATCATCAGTAATACTTACGGGTAAATCCTCAGTAATACTTACCTCCTCCTCATTGATATCCTCAGGGATCCTCACCTCCGGAGTAGACAATTTTTCTTGCTCGAGAGTCGAAGTGGGTTGTTCTCTTCTTTCATATATTTTGCCAAAAAATCTGTCTTCTTCCTCACTGTGGACTATGGTAGCTTCATTGCTCAAGTCTTGGGCATCCTGCAAAGACAAACATAGTAATGACAAGAAGGAAAGTTCATCCACTTCAAGTGCTTTCTTCCCTGAAGTGGTGGACTGACATAAAAAGATTGTTTTTCATGAAAGGTGACATCTATGGTGATAAAGATGCGACGACTCTGAGGATGATAACATTTGTACCCTTTTTTATTAGAAGGATACCCAATAAAGACACATTTAAGAGCTCTGGGATCTAATTTACCACGGTTAGGATGATGAGAGTGAACAAAAACAACACATCCAAAGACTCGACTAGGTAGACTCGTTAGTAGGGAACAAGAAGGAAGAAAAGACAATAGAGACTCTATAGGACTAATGCCATTTAAGATACAAGTGGGTAACCTGTTGATGAGATATGTGACAGTTAACACAACTTCTCCCCAGTAATTTTTTGGAACAGATATTTGAAAAAGAAAAGCTCTAGTTACTTCAAGAAGATGACGATTCTTTCTTTCTGCAACTCCATTTTGTTGAGGGGTGTTAACACAAGTTAGTTTCTGAACAATACCATTATGAGACAAAAAATTGAGAAATTCATGATTCACATATTCAGTACCATTATCAGACCTGATTCTTTTGATATTTTTTCCAAATTGATTTTGGATAAGATAGAAAAAATTAACAAAAATTTGAAAAACTTCGGATTTATTTTTCATAAGGTATGTCCACGTGACACAGATACAATCGTCAATAAAGGTAACAAACCATTTGGCTCCGGAAATAGAATCTATGACAGGACCCAAAACATCAGAGTGAATTAAATCAAATGGAGAAATACTCTTTTTGTGACTAATAGGATAAGATGCACGATGATGTTTTGACAATTGACAAATATCACATTTAAAAGACTCAACAGACTCTTTGGTAAACAAGTGAGTGGGGAAACAAGGACATGATAAGACTAATGATTTGAGATTTTACCCACGACTCAGATGTAGCTTGTTGACTCATGATTTTTGTGTTGCTTTGGTCATTAAACACTAAAAAATACAACCCACTCTGCTCCTTAGCAGTTAAAATTGTCTTCTCTGTAGCAAGGTCCTGAAAAGCACAATAAGTTGGAAAAAATGTTACTGAACAATTTAAATCCTTTGTGAGTTTTTATACAGAGATAAGACTATTAGCTAATTGAGGAACATGTAAAACATCCTTTAATACAATAGATGAGTCCAAAATTATATTCCCAGAGCCGCATATAGGTATACCCTGACCATTCGCAACTGTAATAAGTTGTTCTTTATTTCTTTTACCATATGAGTCGAAGGACACGCTGAAAGGTGTCATATGATCAGTTGCACCCGAATCAAGGATCCAAATACCTTGAGACACATGATCAACAGTATTGAGACAAATCTTACCTTTTATGGACAAAGTACATGATCCAAAGGGCTTACTCATTGATTCATCCATTGCTTTCAAAGGAATAATTTTTACTTCAGACATCCCATAGAACGCAACCAGGAGTCTCCAAGACAATGACGGCGTATGAGTCACACCGAGAAAAAAGGAGCAGAACTTAAAACTCAGATCTACTCAAATATAGGCCAAACGGGTTGTCACCAACCCTAAAAACAGACTCAGGAGGCTCCGGCGACTCTTATGCGGAGGCGACGACGAGTGGGTCACATCGAGAAAAAAAAGAGCAAAACTTAAAATTTAGATCTACTCAAATACAGCCAAAACGAGTCGTCACCGACCCTAGGAATAGACTCAGGGGGCTCCGGCAACCCTGTCTGTGGCGGCGACGGCGAGTGGGTCTCGCCGGAGGTGGGCGCGTGGACTATACGCGCCGGCGACGGTGGCGGCATGTGGCGGCGCGTTGCGGCTCCTCTCATGGAGCGACTTCCGGGGTTGTGATCGCGGGTGTCGGGCGCACCTTTCTGCCCTATCAACGACCCCAACCGGCGACGGCGGCAGCGGCGGTGGTCGGACAGCGGCAGCGGTGAGACTTGTTGCAGCGGAATCGAGCCCCAAGATCAGGAGCTCTGACACCAAGTTGAAAATAAGACTTATTTTATTATTCTCAAATCATAAAAAATACATTCTCATACCCTCTATTTGTAATAATCTAGGTCTCCTAAAAAAGGAAATAAGGAAACTAGGAAAACTAGGAAAATTAAAATAAAATAAAAGATTATGTATCTATTTCCTCTAATTAGGAAGATTCTAAAGATATTATCTCAAATTACAACAATAAGTACTACGTTCATTCTAATAAAGTCCATTCTTTCCTCTTGGCCTTTCCTTTCTGGTACCACTGTAGCAATGACACGCTGCAAGCATGTTTATGCCATAAAAGTTTACCCTAACAGTTAAGTTGATTGTCTTAAAGCTAGGCTAGTGGAAAAGTGATACACCCATTATATAGCCTTGATTATAGCTATAGATTTTTCTCTTGTTGCCAAAATTACTTTAGTTTGCCTCTTTCTTACTATGGTTGTTATTCACTATTGACCTTTCCACTGGTTATATATTAAATGCCTTTCTTCCAAGTTAATTGGATGAGATTTATAGTTTTGTATTTTTAATAAGGAGTTGCCTTAATGAAAAGAAAAATTTATTTGGTCCTTCATATGTTGTATTTGCTGTGAGTTTTGCAGTTGTCCTTTGGTAAAATTCTTTTTAATGTGTTCAGAAGCATTCCAATTTTTTTTTTCTTTTTGCACGCAGGTGAATGAAGTGAAGTCAAACCTTTCTCAGATTGGATTTGATATTGAAGTTATACACAACATGATTTCTGGGCTGGTAAATTGGAGTCCCTTTCTTTTCTCCTTTTTTTAAGCATCCAATCGACTGAAATTGTCGTCTTGTTGATGTTCTAACTTGACTTAATCAATCAACTTGATAGGAAGGGAAACTCGAACTTGTTGAGGGCAAGCAGGTTATAAATTTATTATTGCAGGCATAGGTTACATTCTAGCAAGTTTTCTCAGAAATATTTATATATTTCCCTTGTTATCGTGCAGGAAATGACCAATTCAGGTCTCTGGTATTTGTGCCAATTTGCTGATGGATTTAACGACAGACCAAATGGTGACAAGGTTATATTTTTCATCTTCACTTGTGTTTTTATCCCATTTATTGCCTTATCCAGTGTATAAAATTGTGAGGAAAGCAGAATGGTTTTTATGATATAAGACTTCTAGTTTCTGATTAATACACAATTCTTCTGTCAAGTGAGTAAGAGTTCTGTAACAAGGAATTTTTTTGTGATTTCTTGTGCAAATATCTGATCCTTGATTTTGACTGATTTGATAGGATATTGCAGAACCGACAACTTGTACAGTAACGACACTTGAGAAAAAATCACTCAAGGTTAATCAGTTACGGCATTTTTAAGTTCAAGTTTTTCCACTTCTAGTCATACTTGCCTACTTATTTTTAGTACATGTTTCAGGGTTTACAATTCATTGCTACAACTAGTGACACAGCTGAGAAATCGACCATAATAACAAAGAAAGTTGGTCTCATTTCTTCAAATGACAAAGATCCTGCTTCGAAACAAAGAATACACAGGAGGTCATTTCCTCTGGGCATTTCTGTGAGCAATGGCCTTACCGGATTGGCGAGCGATTAATATTTTTTCTGATGAACCAGCTCGATCCCAATTGATTCAGTACCATTACTTCTCACATGGAGAGCAGATGGTGATTGCAATATATTTTTTACGTTGACCAAAGTTTGTCCGACACACCCTCATCTCAAAATTAACCTTTTTTGTATATCTCGTATACGAAAATTTCAAGACAGCATACAGTGATATGATAAGATCTTGTATCTTCTTTTGTCATGTGTGTTTAAAATGGTTCTGCAATATTCCTTCATATATTTGTTAAAATGTGTAATGCTAATAGTGCCTGGTTAACGCAGGCTAATGCCAAAATTAATTCTGTTGAGAATCAGGAATAAATATCATATATTTAATGTAGATTGATTAGGAATGTTTGAATGTCAAAGTTACAAAAATTAAATATCCTCTATTTGTAATTATTACAATATTTCTGTCTAAACCAGTTGCATATTGTCACTTAGGCACAAGGTTTGAGCGTCGTCTCTATTTTGTCGAGACAAGATTGTCTAGAAAGAGATTGAATTGTTTAAAGTATCTTTAATTTTAAAGTTTATCAAATAATATTAAACGAAATAATTTTGGGTAATCAAATATTTAAGAAAAAGAAAGAACATAAATATATCACATAGAGAATAAAAGAAAAAGGAAAAAACATAGATATATCATGTTGATAATAATCACATTCTCGAGTGGTCATAAGAAAGAACATCTGAACACTAGATAACGGATAATATAAACTCATCAAAGCATCTATCAAATGAATCATCTAGATGCTTGGTTAATCAAAAATAGAAACTTGGAAGACCTGTGCTCAAAAGCGTTTAAGATACAAATCTAAAAGTCTTATCACAAGAAATCTTGCAACCAGTGTCTATCAAGCTACACTTTCAAATATGCTATCTAAGAAGAAAAAGATGAATTAAACAACACAATGTGTTTTAGGCAAAGACGTCTGATCAGTAGGAGAAACCTACACAAACTTAGTAAGACACATGCTTAAGATACCTACACACAAAGTGTCTGAATTACTTTTGTAAAACAGTGAGTGTGAAAATCTCTTCTAAGGTAGAAACATGTTTTACAAAGATTATTTATGATAAGCGTCATGTCTTAACATGTACAAAACTTAAGGATAAGCACTAAAATTAACATATCTATCCTTGAAAAAGATAAAACACTAAAGCTTATTATATTATATTAGTATTAATAGAAGAATAGTTAAAGCAAAAAAATAGTCTAATGAATATTAGCTCCAAACAATAAAGACGTGATCTCAAACTTGTAATCAATGAAAAATATAAATAATATCTTTGATGAAAAAACATGTCAATCTCTATGTATCAAATTACTTTTATTTATAAGTGTCTAACTTTTCACAACCAATAACAATATGCTCTATATTGTCTAATATTATTTGAATGTTAGGATCAATCAATATATTTATTATTGACACCATGTATGACACGATGTTTTGAACATATAGCACAAGATAACATCCATAAATAATCAACACATTTAATGTCATTTATTGTATGTACGGTAAAAGTGCTATTTTTCTTGTATGTTTTGTCCTTGTTTAATGTGAATATCAAAATTATACAACGAGTTAATCAGAAAACCTACATATTTGGATAAAGACATTAAGAGAAGAAAAGAATATTATGAGAATGATCTAAGTATAAAGTCCTACTCTGACATGTTGTATAAGTTGTGTTTCAGTCAAGATATGATAAAACATTGTATCTCTGCATGACAAGACAAGTGAGTGTGACCATCTACCAAAAAGCACTAAGTAGCCTACACAGGGGTCAACTCTATATCCAATGGAACATCTTTGTAGAAGGCTATATAAAGAAGATCTGAAGAAGAGAGAAGACTAATGAAGTAACTATAATGGCAAAGAGAAGAATTAATTATAAGGCCCAAGGTGGGACGTAAGAAAGAAAAAAAGAAAAAGAAGAGAGGTTGAAACAATTGAGGTTGAAATGAAATGAAGTTGAAAGCATATTGAAAAGAAGAGAAGAAAAGAGAGAAAGCATAAATTGAATATTAATAAACTATATTATTTGAAAATTTATTTTGTAATTAAATTGAAATTATGGTTTATTTTTCTTTAATTGTAAAGACTTATTAAATTTGATTTTCCTAATATTGTTATGATTTTAAAGATTTTAAAATGTTACTCGTAATCGGCATCCCCAAATTGGGGTGTTACATGTAACATACAAACACTTTGCCCTCAAACAATGCTTTTATCAAAACACACTGACATGTTACAAAATGTTTTAAGCATGCAACATGTTATATGATCATCAACGTTTAAAATATTTAATGTTGTACAAAAAAGTGTCTCTCTACTTGCATGTTTTATTCTTGTTATTTGTGTAGGTAATGTGAATACTAGGCTTTATTCAGAAGTGCTGCATAAAGGACAAAAAGACGTTCAAAGATAAGAAGACACTCTTAGAATGTTCCCAAGGCTTATTGATTAAACACTTTAATTCTACTATCATTACCAATTAGGATAAGCCTTTTGACTGGAACTACTCTGTCTTTGAAATAATGCTTTGAATGTTAATTTTTTTTGGTGATTATATGCATATATGTTTAATTCTTAAGAGTTGTACCAACTGAATTTGATAATGTCTATCATGAATGATTTGGTGAATTGATCTGTATGCTTGAACATATTGAATTATTAAGTTAATTCTAGTCTAAATGGTCAATATATTGTTTAGCACTTGGTGATGTACTTCAATGCTCATTATCATTCAATGCTTATACATTTTGGCATAAAACTTATGTACATATCATATTATGGAAGTAGTAACATTGTGCAATGTTGAGAAAGATACTTTTGCAGGTTTTAATGTGTGAAAAACAGGTTTTGTACTCATGTACTATGTTTTTAAGCAGTTCTGCACATTTTAAAGGATTAAATAGATGGTATAATCTGTTAAATAATCATTACTGCAGATTTTAATTTGTCACACTGATAGTGTAATCAATTAAGTTACTGAAACTGGTTTTATAAGCATATAACTGCATGTCCGATATGCTGAACAAGTTTAAAATGCCATGAAATACCTGTTTTGAGTAAAATTCATGTTATATGTTGCATAAAGCAAAAATTCACTTTGAAATGTATTATATTTTATGAAATATGCATCATCTTAAGATAAATCATGTGTTTATCTCTGTTGCAGCTATGCTAATACATCTATCATATTTCTACTACATAATAGATGTCATTTATATTATAATACTCATTGCTTACATCTACATTCTATACTATATATGAGTATTGTACAATGATCTCGATATCAATTGTTATATCATGTGAAATCAATATACTAGATCTGATACAAGTCAAAGTACTCTGATATACTATTTTGAATTAGTTATATTGAGTTGATCTTTATGTTGATATTATTCATCTATTGCTCACACACTTTCATAGTGCTTGGGGAACATCACATTCTTCAATGGTTTGTAAGCGATTTTGATGTTTTTAGCACAAATGAATTCCATGTTACTTGTTTGATCTGCCATTTTTGCTAATGCCCAAAGGGGAGAGTAAATGGAAAACATGTTTTTTGTTGGTCATCATAAAAAAAGGGAGAGATTGTTGATAGGGGGAGCTTTGTCTCTTTATATCTTTATGTTTGATGATGAATGGTTAAAAGATTAATAATGGTTTCTTGCACAACAAAATGACATTACAATTGTTTATATCTTTAAGATGTGTGTGCTAGATGATTGAATCCATTAATGTTGAATGATTCAAGTTTAAATTAGTTGAAAAATCTCATTTCTGGTATAAATAATCGATTAAATACAGTATATAATCTGTTAGATCTAGCCAGATCACTTAGAAAGCTAATAGGGGCAAAATGCTATGTTATAATCGATTATACAGGGTACATAACCGATTAAAACAGAGAGAAAGTCATAATCTATTATATAAGTGAGATAATTTGTTAAGGTTGGCAAATGGATGACTAATATGGTTAAGTGTTGAAATAATCGATTACATAAGTTTGATAATCGATTAAAACAGAAATGATAGTCTAATCCATTACATAAATAGCCTAGTATGTTAAGACAGTTAAATAAAGTAATAATAGGCTTAAGTGGTTAAATGATCGATTACACACATATGATAATCTGTTCAAACAAAAAGGAAAGCATAACAGATTACATAAATAACATAATTGATTATACTGCAACAAGATTTGAAAGACCTATATATATGTGACTTGAGACCTATTTCCATAACGTTAACATTTTCAAATACTGACAAATCTTTTGAGTTTGTGTACATGTGTTCTTAAACACACGTTCTTGGAGGAATCAAAGCTTTCTTGGTGATCAAACTACAAGGATTCATTCAAGGCAATGAGACTACATTGGTTCTGATTAATTATGCACTTTGAAGAGTGTGTTCAAGATCAGGTTCTTCAAACAATTTGTATTGTGTATTTGTGCGGGGATAGCCAAGGTTTAAGAGCTGGGATTGCTCTTGGTATTTGTAAGAGATTGAGGGTGTTCATCTCTTGTGTTGTTATTTTGATTTTAAGTGGTAAGAGGAGTGCATTGAGAGGGTTGTGTCTGTATTCTTGTATACTCAATCATTATAGTGGATTCCCTTTAACTAAGATTGTTGAAAGAGGACTGGATGTAGGCTCGTGATAGCCGAACTAGTATAGATTGTTTGTGTGTTGATCTCTCTCTACTTGTTGATTCATTATTCTTTGTTTATTGATTTCAAGAAGCCAAGAACTCATAAAGATTTCAAAAAGATCTTAAATAAGGGTTTATCCAATTGAATCCCCCTCTTGGCTTGAGATATAAGGCTTTTCTTTTCATACAAATACCAAAAGAGCATATGAGTGAACCTCTTAGCCTTCATCATGGTGTCACAAATGAGGTTGGGCCAATAAATCATAATCTCATTTACTGTCCCATAAATAATCATCAAATTCGCCTTGGAGCAATACTGCACATGATTAAAAGCATGAGGACAAAGCATCAACACAATCAAGAAGTGAATTAGCCTTTCATCCTTCTCAAGACTACCTACGAGCAATTGCTTCCTGTTGACATGAACCTCAGGGTTCTTTAGAAAAGAGAAGGCCAAAATCTTGTTGAAGCCTTCAATACCCTAGATCAACATCACTACATCTTCATTCAACTGAATCTGGGCCATTGTTGTCCAAATATCATCGTCCAAAACAATATCTACTCCCTTGA